CCCCCCACCGAAAGCCCTGTCCTTTCCCATCCGCCACCTGGCACCCAATGCGCCCCCCTTCGCCCCCTTACCCCCGCCGCCCTGTCTACAACCCTCGCACACGCACACGCACACACGCGAAGACCAAAATCGCGGCCCATCGGAGCGTGGTCCTCTCGATGGCGCTGATGACACTGGCCTGGACGGCCGGCAGTCTCTATCTGCTGACGCTTGATCGGAATGGCTACGTGGAGAACTCGTACTCCTGGATGGCGCCGATTGCCATCTCGGTCAGCTATGGGTATCGCGTGTTTCTGCTCATCGCCCTGGCGCTGGGCTGGGGTGTCTCGCGGCCGGATCTTTCGTCGCCCGAGTGGAAGGGCTCTGTCAGTGCGTTTCGGGCGACATGCCCTGCACGGGGGGTGGGGTTTTTTTTTCCCCCTTTGCCGGCTTCTGACCCCTGCACGTATCCCTTCTCGTCGCTTTGTCGGGGGCTTGGCTCGCCTGCTGCCCAGTCCCCCCGGCCATTTTCGCCGGTCTCATGGTTCTGCTGATCTCGCCTGGCTTCAACTTCCTCACGGTATGTGTCGCACCGTGCCACTCCGCGGGCCGGAAAGATGGCGACCTGGCCCGGGGCCGGGTACCGGGGAACAAAAGGGGGGGGGGGGGGGAAGGCCGGCCAGTCCCCGGCGCCCGTGGTCCAACATTTGCCTCGCTTGCTGACCCTTTCCTCGGCCCTCTCATCAGTACTTTGTGGTCTTCCTCCTGGCACGCTTCATGAACACATACAGCATGGAGACGCTGTCGCACCTTCGCCGGATGGCCTTGCGCATCCAGGTTCTCATTACCGGTATGTCTCGACCACTCCCATGGGGGGGGGGGGGGGGGGGCGAATTGGATCTGCTGCCCCCTCTCCCTCCGGCTGATGCTCCCCCTGCCGGCGGCTTCTAACGTCCCATGTCGCCTTCCGCCCTGCTGTGACCGCGCGCATCTGCCTGCTCTGGCCGTTTGTGGTGCACATCCATGCGCAGCTCGGGATGCTGCGACCCCCATCCAGGCGGTCTACTACCTCCGAGCGGTGGCCCTGAAGTTCAATGCCCTCTCGCGGCTGCGGATGATGACCCAGGTGTACATCTTCCTGCTTGTGCTGGCGGTCCTCATTGGCCGGCTGTTCTTCCCCTTCTCCCAGTGGCTGGCTGTGCCGCTCGGAGGCGCGGTGGAGGCCCTGGTGGGCCTCTTCCTCTTCTGGGTCCTGCGCCTGGGACAGGCCTACCCATCGGAGCTGTTTGTCCATCGCCGGCGCGTGCCGCTGCTCGGGGGCCGGCAGTCGAGCTCCGGCCGGGCCGGGCCGGCGGCCACCACCACCACCGGGAGCAGCGGGGCTCGCGGGTCCGCCGAGTCGCCGCTCCTTTCGCCGATGGAGTATGACGACGACATGGTTGTGGATTTGGAACGCATGCAGATGAACCCGGACCTGGCGTCGTCGTCCGGTGCGCCCCGCGAGTCCCTGTCCAGCCAGCACAGTGGCCCGGCCGCGGCCGGGGTGCGGACCGGGACCGGGGATCATCCTGCCCGGCCGGCCGCGCCCCTGCATCGGCTCTCCTACGCGGCGGTCTTCGATCCGACCGGGTTTTCCTTCGACGAGGAGCCGGATGCCCGGATGGAGGCGCTGCTGGAGCGGATGCATGTGTCCTCGGCCTCGGTGCGGTCCTTCATTCGGCCGCCGCCGCGCGGGCTGACCGCCACCGAGTTGGAGGAGCGCCGGCAGTGGCGCCTGACGCATGGGCTTTGGGAGGATGAGGATGCGGAGTTCGGCTGGCAGGGCAGCGGCGACATGTCTTCCGATGCGGTGCTGGACCCGACGCGCGAGTCGGAGCAACGTCGGCAGTGGCGCCGGTCTCATGGGGTTTGGACCGAGGCCGAGTCGGCCAGCCTGGCCCAGGCCCAGGTGATTGTGCTGCCCTTCCCGCCGGCGTCGATCCCCTGTCCGTCGGTGGGCGGGAGCCTCTGCTCGCCCGACCCGTCGACCGGTGCCGGGCTCGGGGGGCCCGGGCTTGGCGATGTGGGGGAAGACGAGGCGGCGGCCGCCGCCGCCGGTGCCTCCAGCGAGAAGGAGCCCTGGCTGGTGTGTGCGGTGCCGGAGCCCCCTCCGCCGCATCTGTACTGAGACGGCCTCTCGCCCCCGGGGAGAGCAGGGCTCCCTCCTGTGTCCCTCCCCTCCCCCGCTCCCCCCCCTCCTTCCCCTCTTGCTGCGGGGGTGAGTGCGCGTGAATGCGCCCAGCCGCGCGCGTGTACATTTGCGCCCCACCTTGGCGAGAGCGAGAGCCAGGCGGCCCATGTGGCGTTGCCGTTCTGATGCGCCCTCTCCCAATGAAACCAATGTAGATTGCCATGTGTATGTGCACGTGGCGCATATCCCCAGGGGGAGGGAAGGGTGGAGAGACAGGGAGAGCGAGGAAGGAAGAGGGAGAGAGGTGTGCCTCTGGCCCAAGGAGTCGGCAAGGGGGTGGGGGGGGGTGGGGAGGCTGGTGAGTCCGGAGCCGCGGCGAGGGTGGGGTCCCCCTGCCATGCCACGGGAGGCGGGAAGGCGAGCGCCCGCCGGCGATCGGGCTGCGATTGTGGGTGACCGCCGAGTCCTGGGCGGGGTGCCGGCAGGAGCCGGATTCCGGGCAGTGCCCCCCCCCCCCCCCCGATCGGCAACGGCGCCCAGGATCCTTGCTTGGCCAAGATGGGGAACTTGTGGGCGGGGGAACGGCTCGGGGCCGGCCGGCCTCGGGGCCGGGGCAGGCGCCGCATCTGCTTCGGAAGGCGGGCCACCGGGGCCGATCCGGCGCGGGAGGGCGGGCGACGGGGCGAGGGAGGGCCGGGGCGAGGCAGGCGCGCACGCGCGCCCACGCCCACCGGCAGGGGCTCAAACAGAGGTGGCGCTGCGTGGGCAACAGGGCAACCGGCGTGAGGGCACGCCCGGCCCTGTTGTCCCCGGACATACTCCCGGGCGCGCCAAGGCCGGCGTCCCTGCCAGCGCCCCGCCCCCCGCCCCCCCCCCCCCCGCCCCCCGTGCCAAGACCGACAGGCTGCGTGCGTAAGCAATTGGCCGGGCGGCGGGCGGTGGCGGGGCCACGCAACGCAGGCGCGCGAGTGGCGCCCCAGGCTGCCGGCGACCCGCGCGCCCGAGGCGCCGAGCGCGACGCCTCCGCTCCCGGAGGGGGCGCCAGGCGAGCCGGGCCTCGGGGTGTGTGTTTGGTCATGTGACCATTACTCTTACATAACCAATCAGCGCTCTCCACATCGAACTAGCCCGCTTGCCCGGATGAATATCTGTCAGTTGATTGGGTGCCCCTTTTTCGCGGGCCCGGCGAGCGGAGGGGGGGGGGGGGGCGGCCCCCGGCGGGCGGGCCTGTGCATGTTCCCGGGGCTCTCCGCGAGTGGGGACCGGGGGGCTGGGGAGCCCGGCGGCGCGCGCCAGGGGGCCAGGGGGAGACAGACATCGCGCCCCGGCGAGCAGGCGCACGAGCCCTCTCATTACCGCGGCTCGGGCCGTTCCGGCGGCGGCCTGTCTGACCAACTCTCCCCGGGAGGGCGGCGGGTGGGGAACATGATGCCCGCAAGCGGATGACTAATGGCCTGTCCATGCCGGGGCGCGAGGCCCGAGACGAAGAACCCGCGACCCCAGCCCTCCCTGCCGGCGTGTGTGTGTGTGTGTGTGTTCCACGTCTGCCGGGCGGCGCCAGCGGGAGAGCCCCTTGCGCCCGGGCCGCCGGGACGCCCCGGAAAGGGGGACAACTCGAGCGCCTTCCGGCCGCGCCGGCGTGAAACACGAGGCAGCGCCCCAGGCGTCGGGGGAAGGGCAAGAGTCTAAAATGCTCTGGGGGGATACTTGGGGTGATTTTAAATGTGCCATTTTGGCTGGCGTTCTTCTCTGCGGCCGGGGGCCGGGGCCGCACGAGAGCGGAAGGGCGAGAGGGCGAGCGAGTTCCCCCCCCCCCCCCCCCCGGGCCCCTGTCTTTTTGTGTGGTTTGTTCCGGGGGGGCGGCCTTTCCCGGGGCCCGGGCCCGGGGGCCCTGAATAATCCTGTCCCCCCCCCCCCCCCCCGCCCGTCCTCTCCCGGGCTTCCTGGGTGGGCTGTTGCGCGGGCCCTAAGCACCGGGGCGGTGCAGCTGGCGCGCTTCCGCCCCCCCGCCAGGCGGAGAAGGTCAGCGGAGAGAGGAGGCGCCCCTCCGGCCCCCCCCGTCTCGGGTTCTCATGTCGATCCCTCGGGCCGGCCCCGCCCCGGGAGGCCGGGCGCGGGCGCTTGCACTCCGAAGCTGGCCGGTTCCCGCGCACACCGGCCCGGCCCACACCGCAGCTGGACGACGTCGCGTGCCGCGGCCGGCGCCCCTTGCGCGCGGCCAGGCGTCCCGCGCCGGCCCGGCCCCTGAGACCGGGAGAGACGTCGGTGTGCCTCTCCTGGCGCTGGGAGGCCGCCCGAGCGGTGGGGTATCCTTCCCCTGCCCGAGCCCCCCCCCCCCCCCCCCCAAGGGGAAGCCAAAAGCGGGGGGCAAGCGGGCTGACTAGCTGGCGAGAGCCCATTGGGCGCGGCCCCGGCGGTCGACGCAAGAAGACGCCTCTCTTTCGAGAATGTGCCGTCCGGGGACGGCGCCCCCAAGCCACCGCTCGTCTCCGCCGCGGGAAAGGGCAGACCCGTGGACAGGCCGGGCCGCTTTCCAGCGAAGCCCCGGGCGAACATGGGACCCAGCTCTCGCGCCAGTCGCACACGCAGTTGTGCGCTCTTTTGATGCCCGGCCGCCGGACGCCTTCCGGGCCGGGCGCTGCACAGGTTCCAGGGTGGCCGGGGGGGCGGGGGGGGGGGGGGGCATCGCCCGAAAGTGCGGTGGGTGGTGCTC